TAACTTAAAAAATATTTAATTTTTCCTTAAAAATTTCACGGTATATTCTTAAAACATTTATTTATATATTCTGAAAATTTGAAAATAATTGATCAAGTAGTTTTTTTTTATAAAAATTCCCAAAAATCACATTTTTTAGGCCGTTACACTAGTTGTGCCCCTTAAAACAGCTAACTACCTTCTACGCGAAGCCCTAGAAGATGAAAAAATCAATTTTAATTATCCTATTTGGAACCACTCCCCCGAAACGAAAACTAAGTCCACCAATCGAAAGTGATTCGGCATTACATACACAAACAGGAGAGTGGGCTCGCAGCAACGAAGAGAGGGTAAATGTATTTGCCGCACTTCTAGAAAACGTCTTCAAACCACTTCCATCAATAAATAGGTTTGTGCTATTTGTGCAGAGGCTACCCTGCCTATCATATTTTTCTTTTGATGTGCCTATCAAAGATATTTGAAAAGCTGCATCTGAATCGAATAAAGCAACACCTACAGTCCCATAATGGCATTTCAAGTCACCAATTTGGTTTCCGCGAGAACACTGAACCATTGAACAAGTAAACCGAAGAACCGCCGAGATACGGAATACATTTTAAATTGTTCAGCAGCTCTTTTGGATGACGCCCAGGTCTTTGACCGCGATTGGTTGGACGGCTTGATTTTTAAAATTTTAACATTGCTTTCACAGAACACCCATAAAATACTGTAGTTATATCTTGTGCATAGAAGTTTCGCAGTTCGATGTAGAGATTTACTGTCAGTCAGAGAGTACCACCCAAATGAAGCTTGCCCCAACACTGTATATAATTCTCATTGGCTAGCAGATTGGCGATAAAGGTTAACAAGAAAAAAATCAAACACGTCACCTTTACCCTAAATAGACAAACTTGCCCTCCACCATCTGTGAACAACATTCACATTCCACAAACAACTGATGTAACAATTGTTGGAATCCACCTCGATAGTCGGCTTACTTGGCAAAGGCACATCGAAGCTAAGAGAACACAATTAAAATTAAAAGCAAGAAGCCTACACTGGTTAATAAATGCCCATCCTTCATAAAAAATAGAGTACAAGGTATTTCTGCATTCTACAATGCAGTCCTCAAACCAGAGAGCTCAATCAAAGATACTCAGAACTATAACTGATGAACCCATCGTACGTACAGAATGATAACATTCACAGAGACTTAAATGTGGGATCTGTAAGAGACGAAATCGGCAATGTAAAAGCAAAGCATACGATGAAGCTACTGTGTCATTCAAATAGGCTTGCGCGGTCTTTTACCTGGAACATACTTGTCGTCAGTCTCGAAGAAAATAGATTCGATAAATAATACACCGTGTAAAAAAGTTTAAAGAGACAGGCTTAACAGAAAGTGTTCCTTGATCCGCCGGACCTAGAGGAATGAGGGACCCGAAAATTTTTTTTTGCCTAAAAGTGATATCAAAGAGCGGTGACATTATCCTCGTAGCCCAGATCTATTTCCAAGAAAATACCTGAAAAGAGAACTCTATAACACTAACGCCACCCAGTGGCGTAACTACGTCAGAAAAACTTTTGTTCCGTGACGGGAGATAATTTTTTATTATCTTCAATTTGATCAAAATGATCTTTCTGCTTTTGCGACGGTGACTGGGATGGTGAGAAACAGACAACATGCTGTTACAATTTCAGAAAGACTACTGCTCGAGGAGTATTTTTTTAATAGAATAAAATCGAGAATTTCCGCAGAAGTGTTCATTGTTTTCAAATCATTGTTGAAGCACTCCTTAAAAGACAGTAGTTGGCTTGAAATTGTGTCTGAAATATCATCTTCATATTTTAGGCAAAATTTTTGGCCGTCAGAGAAAACTTATCGTCAGACGAATCTAACAAAAAAATGGGAGAAATAATTCGAAAATGGTGGGCAATTTTTCTCAAACCAGTACTGCGTTCTTATAACTGCGTAGAAATAATATCAAGAGTTTGACAGAATACATTGGCTCTGAAAAAGTCGTCGTCGCTTTCAATGTAATGATGTTGACTCAATTCATCGAAATGTCTTTTGGGGCGACGTTTCCTTTTCGGGGAAAAAGATGTTGGACATTTCCATTTTACTGCCAAATCAACAGCAGTGCTTTTCAAACTCTCGAAGTCTTCGCGGAGACTGTTCACTTTAATGCAAGCATCATTCAACATCTTGGCTGCATTTTGAATGTCCTGCTGTTGATTTTGCAGTTCCTTGGAAACGGGATTGATGATTTTTAAAATTTTACTTTCAAGAACAATCAAGAAAATAGTCTCGAACGTTTGCAATTTGTCTCTCAGGAAGGTAGCTTCATCTTTTTCGTTTCTAATTTCTGATGTTAGATTTATTTTATTAAGTGTTTTCAAAATGTCGGTGAATCTAAATCGAAGAGCTTCTATAGTATCATGTCTGGACGACCATCGAGTCGGATTCAGCTTTTTCAAAGTCAAACTCTCATTATTTCTAACATTTTCTTGTAACAGTGCCCAGCGCTTTATACTGTTCCCGAAAAAAACGTACACTTCTTCGACAAAATGGTAAAAGTTCCTTATTTCTTCCACATTTTTAACTGAATCACTTAATGCTAAATTCACTTCATGATCTGCGCAGCGAACATACGGCGCATTTGGAGCTACTTTCAAAACTTCAGCTTGGACTCCGTTATATTCTCCAGATATATTAGCTGCACCATCATACCCTTGTCCAAGCAATTTTGTAACAGAAAGATCATTACCACGTATGACATCATACACTATGACTTTACCGAGATGCTTACCAGTTTGATTTATTACTGGAATGAAGCCTACAAACGATTCGTGAATAATGATTTTCTTCGGCTTTTCGTACTCTTTCTCAATAGTGATGTATCTTAAAACAGTGACGAGTTGATCAACTTTTGCAATGTCTTGGGTAGAGTCTACTATTACAGAAAAGAACGGAGCTTGTCGAACAGCAGAAAGAATATCCTTTTTCACACAATTACCGAGTAAATCGATGATCTAATTTTGGATAGCTGGGCTTAAGTACGTTATGAAATTTTTCGTTCTTCGTTCCAGTAAATCTTTCAAAACCGGATCGTAATGACTCAGCAGTTGAATAACGGACAAAAATATTCCCGGATTATTAGAATTTAGAGACTCGTCATGACCACGAAATGGTAAATTACAACCAGCCAATGTCAAACTTACATCTATTATTCAAGTCAGAATATTTATCCAGTAAGATTCTTTCTCTCTTATCGCTTTTTCAAGTTCGAAGTCTTCAGTTTGATTTAGGCGCCACTTATCGAACATGCAACAAGAAAGATTATGCTCATTTTTACTCTCGTGTCGAGACAAGGTTTGCTGGAAATGTATTCAGTCTTTAGAGACATTGGCCAATGAATCTTTAGATTGAGAAAATAACCAACAAGGTAAGCAATAACATTGATCCAAGATGCTAGAATAGTTCAACCATGGACGCTCTGCTACAATACCGGATTTGAGTGTTTTCTTGTAATGAAACTTCGAGAAACTTCGACCGTCAGGTCGGTTTGGATCCTGCTGAATTAAGAAACGTTTTTCTTCTGTTGTGACTTCACGATGCCCATGATGACCTATGTCATTTTTTAGAACAGGTCGGGTATCAGAAGATTTGTTTTCATCATTCGGGGTTTCGTGGTATTCTGCTGCTTGAGATGCGTCAATTGGGTCTCTGGAACCTAAATATAATTTAACGTATATGATTATTATGTGACGGTTGGGAACACTGCCAGATAGTGCTAGGAGTGGCAACTCTAGAAAAAAATCCATAGATCGACCGACAGTATCGTTGACGACGAGTGAAACGACAATTATTTACCTGCAACAATACTCGATGTACCAAACTGAAACACGGGATCGTTATCTTCCGATTTTTTGGACGGATGTTTACCCAAAAATGGTTTTTCATTTTCGAAAATCTTTTCATTGCCTCAGAAACGCAATCGGTTACGATAGGGTTGACAGGATTGATTTCACTGTCGACATTGTTATTATTATTTAGGGGAATGTTGTCAGGGTTGGGCCTTTGTCAGAGTTGGGCCATCTCAATATTTCGAATATTCGTTCTAGTACCTTCTGTTTGTGGGTGTCAAGAAACTTCTATCGGTCACTCGAAACTTTCCACGTGACTACTTATTTCGGGATTTCATTTTTCTACGTGTCGTTGTTCTTTGAAAAAAAAAGTGGATAAATGCGAGGTTGAGGCCGTAAATCTGACATTTTGGACCCGAATGCTTGTTTACTTTTGACCGACAAACGACGAAAATTTTTGTACGTTCTACGGATTGTACACAAAGCACGTGACTCACATTAAAGAGCACAATTCTTGAACAACGTTTAATTAATAGAAATTCGGGTATCGATTACGAGATCGATATTTCGTAGGTATAACCACACAAAAAAGTTGAGTGAGGCAGATGACACTACTTCATGGCGGCTTTTTTAGAAATTGCATACCTATCGTCAGCTTATAAAAAACCACTAACTCAATAGTACAATAATTTCGTTTACATCAGATCTTATTTCATTTCCTTAAATCATTCGTAATCTTGTTCTTTTGAGGTACCGAAGGGGCCCTTTTGGGGCCCCCAAAGCTCGGGGGCCTGTGTTCCTGGAACACATGGAACACCGGTAGTTACGCCACTGACGCCACCACTCTTGAAGAATTTGTGGATAGTGTTAGTGAAAAAATGTGTACTGTTGCATTTTGTTGAATTTTGACTCCAGCTATATCTCAGCCCCAAAAAAACTTGGGAACCAAATCAAGGGTTTTTTCGTAAGATAATAACCCCCTTAGGAGGGGCAGAAGGTTTTTTACCTTGGAAAATGGAAATTTCCTCGGAAAATCACACATACTCTATGTAACATCAATAAATAAAAACTTTGGAGACACCATATGTTAATAAAACAAATCACCGGCACCCACCCCCCACCCCACCGAAAATTTCTTTTTAAGAGTTGCTTACCTATCAATTCAGATGATGTTCCTGTTTTTAAGGAATCATTTTTATCATTCGATAAAGAAACACTACGCTTTAACTGCTTAAGGAAACAGCCAGTTTGTTTTTCAATTGAGTGGGGCAATGATTTTTCCATTTTGCATATGCGTAAACATAAAAGTAATACATATATATATATATACATATACATCCATGCTTATATTGGTTTTAGCACTTATCACTATCACAATAACTGTTTAAAAAGCTTTTCCTTTATTTTTGCAGCTTATCATAAGTCTGAAAAAATTCACTCATGCTTGACTAACATATCAAAACAAACTCTTTGTTTTTTTTTTAATGCGCATGTTCTAAGGAACCGATAGGTCTTTATACGCATACAAAAAAGGGTACATTTTTAAAAAGTGAAAGAAAATTATTTTATTCAACTATTTTTAAGTACAATTTTAAAGAATTAACTTATGTTTCAAATTTATTTTGAATGTGGGTAAACTTAATGGGCATCATACTGAACAACAAAAAATCTTTTGGCGCTATTCTTGTATACATATGTATGTATATACATGCATAACAAAATTGGATGGCATTTCATGTAGTTGGGTCTTATAAATGCGTATGTATTTAATAAAATGGTATTTTTTGTAAATTGTAATTTTTATACCCTTGCAGAGCAAAAGGGTATTATAATTTCAGTCAGAAGTTTGCAACGCAGTGAAGGAGACACCTCAGACCCCATAAAGTATATATATTCTTGATCAGCATCACGAGCAGAATCGAAATATGTATGTACGTCTGTCCGTCTGTCCGTCTGTCCGTTTCCGCGCAAACTAGTCTCTCAGTTTTAAAGCTATCGTGCTGAAACTTTCCCAAAAGTTGTGTAGTTGTTGCACGCAGTATATAAGTCGGAACGGGCCGGATCGGCCGACTATATCGGATAGCTCCAATACAAGAGAATGAAATAAAAAATTCTCACTCTATTGTTTTTCATCAGATCGACTTGAATTCTTCAAGATGGCGTTTTCTAACTGTTATTGAATTTCGGATTAAATTTGATCAAAATCGGATAACTCTATCATATAGCTGCCATAGGAGGGATCGAAAATTATATATAGAATTAATGGAAATAAATTGATAACATCGTTGTTTTTCATCAGACAAGTATGAATTTTGGAATATAGAGTGTTCTTACGACTCTTGAATTACGAGTTAAATTTGATCAAAATCGGACAACTATATCGTATAGCTCCCATAAGATCTATAGTCAAAAATATGGAAAATGAATTGAAAAATCGTCTTAGCTTCGATGTTGTCTAGCCTTTATGCGTTTTGTTCGACATATTTGATGACTGCAAGGGTATATAAGCTTCGGCTTGCCGAAGCTAGCTTCCTTTCTTGTTTGTATTATAAAAGAAATATTAAATAAAATTAAGTAAAAAAGAAGAATGGAAGGCCGTTTTCGCAAGCCGTCAAAACATTAATATCTCTATGATATAGTTCTCCCATATTAATAAAAATAATTTTTTATATCTATTATCGTAACGAAATGCTTATTATAAGAGCTTAACAACATTGAAAACACGAAAATTTTTCTATTAATTTTCTTCGATTCATATGAAAGCTATATGAAAAAGTTGTCCGAATTTCTTTAAAATTTAAATCAAAATTCAGGAATCGTTAGAGAACGTTTAATAAAATATTAGTTGTCATAACTACCCTTCGTTAAAGTTTCAGAGAGATTGCTTTAAAACTGAGAGTCTAGTTTGCCTCGAAACATACAGAACGGAGTGACGGGCACGATTTTAGTTTCTGGGGCGCCAAGATTTGAGGACATATTTTGGGTAATTGGCCCAAAATAAACACTTTACTAAATAACCGTTTAAGAGATATCAAGCCTTAAATGTCGGCTAATAGTGCAGCCGTTACACTTATTTTTATAAAAATTACCTCAAAAAAATAATATAGCATATGGGACATTCTTTTACAAATCGTACACCTTTTTTGCGTCACAATTCCGATTTTTGTCAAAACTTTTTTTCAAGTGTAGAAAGCAAAATAAAAAGACACGTGTATCGGTATTTTGCTTAAAAAATTGTTTTTACAAAGTTATGATTTTGGACAATATCAATGGTTTTCTCTATCCTTAAACACGTTAAATGAATTATCTCTTGTTCTATTAATCGTATCGTTACAATTTTTTTTTATTATTTAGTTCAAGAATTCAGCTTTCAAAAAGTAATTTTATTTTTTAATTTAATTTTTTATTTATAAGAATTAGTAACAAATTAATCATTATAGGGGGGATAGGGGGGACGGTGGCCCAGCAGGTAGAGCGCTGGCCTCCGGTCCGGAAGGCCCGGGTTCGAGTCGAGTCCCAGGCTCCCCAAAAAAAGAAACGGTCTCTTTTTCCAAATCTCCACCACTTCTACGCTCTATCGCTCACTTATCATTAGTAACAAATTTCGGCTCCCCGGACCCGCACACCCCTCGTCCACGTTACTATGGACCCAACAATAGAACTTTCGTCACTCCTAGATGGCGCTAGGTGGCAACCCCACCGCTAGGATAAGTCGCTACTGGCTTATCACCGGTACGATCGAAAATCAATGATAATTGAATCCTCTACAAGAAATTGTAGAGGCTCTAAGCTCCCGGGTGGAGTAAAAGAATGTAAATTTTAATCATTATATTTTAGTAAGCGCACACACATGTGATGTTTCCTTCGCAGCCAAACTTGAACTGCCTCTTTATTGAAGATCCTCTTCCTTCATGCTCTCTCGTGAGAGGGAGCATAGTGTTGTATAATACTTAAATCTAATATTGCACAGTGTTGCTTAGGACTAACTTACTACTACAATATCGACATTTCAATGCCGATCCCCACAACTTATTTAATTGAAAAAAATCAATTTATTAAACAGTAAAAGGAATTAGAGTGGGGTCTTCATTAGATCAAGAGAAATTAAATAATTTTCGACTCTTCGCGCAGCGCGCGCTCCACATGCTGCCGCAGCGCGATCAATGTTATTTTATATCTTATTACCTAATAGAGACCTCACTCTAAATCCAAGTGTTTTTTTCTAAGGAATGACGTATAGAATTAAAATGTAATTTTCCTAATTGTATATGTTGTGGGGATCAGCTTTGAAACCATTAAATTGTTTATCATTTTTTTCTGAACAAATAAAAAAATTGCAAGTAAAAAACGTGAAAGGCAACATTAATACCTATTGAATAAAAAAAGTTTTTATTATGTGACTACTGGAAGCGGAGATAATATATTTCATAAATAGAAAAAATAAATGCAAACTATTTTTTTTGGAGTAAAATCCTTTTACACGTGTCGAATAAAATCTTCCATAAAAGCTGAAAAAAAATGTTCATTCAATTCTGAGACATGAAAAAAAAATTTTTCTCGAATCCGTACGATTTGTAAAAGAATGTCCCATCTGTATCAATGCATAATTGTTGTAAAAAAAAATGAGCTAAAAACTGAAAATTGGCAGAATTTTTTTTTTTATAAAAATTATTTCAAAAAAATAATATAGCATAGGTATGTATTAATGCATAAGTGCGCGCGAGTTACCGCACACATTGTCGCGGACACATCGCCGCCCCCAAACCTCAGCGACTCAACCAAATGGTTATTAACCCAAACGCTGGACACAAACGCTGAGTTTGGGAGCCAACGGAAGTAAGCAGAACCAACACTTAACAGCTACGCGAAACATAAACAGACCAACACATCAGATATGCCAAACCTGCCAACTATGCAGATTCTCATTCTCCACTCGAATCTGCTGGATATGCGAATTCCCGATCATACCATTTTCATTCCCACATATTCCATAAGTTACGCTTGAGCTGGTAGAACAATAAAGATTCATTATACTTTTGACCGAAGTCGAAGCAAGTTGTCATTTTATTAAACACAATATTAAATACATTGAAACCATTCATTGGACTTAACTGGCAGTATACCAAGATACTGGAAGGACCCCTTTGGATTTTATTCCCCCCAGTATCCGCAGATACTGTAATTGGCGCAGCCGGATTCGGACTAAGGAGATCGCAAAATGCTCCAGCTCCTGATCATATTATACCTGTAAGATAGGTAAGTGAACAATGGTGGTGAAAATAAGAGGAAGAAAGAAAAAGGAAGGAAAAATGAAACAAATAAATTGAATAAAAATAAAAAGAAAAGAAGTGAAAAGTGATGAACCAAATTCATGCAAGTGTACAAGTGTTAGTGTTCCCTCAACTTGCGACCGAATACGTGCACATCAAACGCTGATAAGGCACCGGGTCCACATTATTTGAAAAATGACAAATTTATAAAATCACATACAACTAAATGCAAAAGAAAACTTCCAATTATACAGATTCGTGACCGAATATGTGCACATCAAACGTTGATAAGGCACCGGGACCACGTAATCAATACACAAAATCTTTTATATACAAGCTGTAAATTATTTGCAATTGCTGAAATTTGTGACCGAATATGTGCACATCAAACGCTAATAAGGCACCGGGATCACATAACAATAAATACACTGAAAAAAAATCTTCTATTTACAAACCGTAAATCATTTACAACTGTTAAAATTTGTGACCAAATTTGTGACCGAATATGTGCACATCAAACGCTGATAAGGCACCGGGATCACATAACAATAAATACACTGAAAAAAAAAACTTCTATTTACAAACCGTAAATTATTTACGACTATTTAAATTTGTGACCGAATATGTGTACATCAAACGATGATAAGACACCGGGATCACATACCAGTAAAATACAGAGAAAAAAAAATCTTTTATACACAAACTATAAAACACTTACAATTATTAGAATTCGTGAATGAATATGTGCACAGTAAACGCTGACAGAGCACCGGAATCACGTAACAATTACAAAGTTTGATTTTCTCTCTCTTCACTTGAGTTGAAACTGCTGCATCGGCAGTTTTTGCTTGATGTGGTGGAGAGCAAATAAATACCCCCAATTGTACACTTAGCGGGAAATTGGATTCAAGCAATTACGTCATATTATACCTCAAGGAAAATAATAATAAAAATATATAAACTTCTTTCTTATAGTCGCCATATGTTCACTTGCCTACACTCAATCATATTATCAAATTTTAAACAAATCAATATATGTACATTACAGTCAACACTAGAAAAACAACACAGGGAGAGGACATCAACGAAAAACACACACAACAAGTAACATCTACACATATTAATAGTAATCATATTAATTATAAGACATAAGCATATTATTTTACAAATCATACAATTAA